GTGTTTTATGATTAACGACTCATGGTGTAATTGTAGTAACATACAGGAACTCGAGTCCTTTTGTTCACCCGACCTAGAATATCTCACAATCAAATTATCTCCCAAGATAATTTTCTTCGGTTATATTCACGACCATGTATATCCCCCCTCAAGCCGATACCACGACGGCCCTCAAAGAACTTCACTGGACTTTATGCAAACTGGAAACCACATATCCTGAGGCTGCATTTATTGTAGCCGGGGATTTTAACAAAGCAAATTTGAGGACTAGGCTGCCGAAGTTCTATTAACATATCGACTGTTGAACTCGCGCTGCCAAAGTCCTCGACCATTGCTATTCAAACTTCCGGGATGGTTATAAGGCCCTCTCCCGCCCTCCTTTCGGCAAATCTAACCATGACTCCATTTTGCTCCTCCCTTTCTATAGGCAGAAACTCAAACAGGAAATACCCGTGCTAAGGACTATTCAACGCTGGTCTGGGATATGTTCCGGGTAGCTTCCGAAAATAATTTAGACGAATACACTGAAACGGTGACTGAGTTTATCAGGAAGTGTATAGGTGATGTTGTGCCCACTGTGACTATTAAAACCTACCCTAACCAGAAACCGTGGATAGATGGCAGCATTTGCGCCAATCTGAAAGTGCGAACCACTGCATTCAACCATGGCAAGGTGACTGGGAATACAAACAGTGTAGCTACTCACTCCGCAAGGCAATTCAACTGGCAAAACATCAGTATAGAGACAAAGTGGAGTCGCAATTCAACGGCTCAGACACAAGACGTATGTGGCAGGGTCTACAGACAATCACGGACTACAAAAGGAAAACCAGCCACGTCGCCGACACCGACATCTCGCTTCCAGAAAAGCTAAACACCTTCTTCGCCCGCTTTGAGGATAACACAGTGCCACTGACGAGGCCCACTAACAAGGACTGTGGCCTCTCCTTCTCCGTGGCCGACGTGATTAAGACATTTAAGCATGTTAACCCCGGCAAGGCTGCTGGCCCAGACGGCATCCCTAGCCGCGTCCTCAGAGCATGCGCAGACCAGCTGGCTGGTGTGTTTATGGACATATTCAAACTCTCCCTTTCCCAGTCTGCTGTTCCCACATACTTCAAGATGTCCACCATTGTTCCTGTACCCAAGAAAGCAAAGGTAACTGAACTAAATGACTATCGCCCTGTAGCACTCACCTCTGTCATCATTAAGTGCTTTGAGAGAGTAGTCAAGGATCATATCACCTCTACCTTACCTGCCACCCTAGACCCACTTCAATTTGCTTACCGCCCCAACAGATCCACAGACGATGCAATCGCCATCACACCGCACACTGCCCTATCCCATCTGGACAAGAGGAATACCTATGTAAGAATGCTGTTCATTGACTATAGCTCAGCATTCAACACCATAGTACCCTCCAAGCTCATCATTAAGCTCGAGCCCCTGGGTCTGAACCCCGCCCTGTGCAACTGGGTCCTGGACTTCCTGACAGGCCGCCCCCAGGTGGTGAAGGTAGGAAACAACATCTCCACTTCGCTGATCCTCAACACTGGGGCCCCACAAGGGTGCGTGCTCAGCCCCCTCCTGTACTCCCTGTTCACCCATGACTGCGTGGCTAAGCATGCCTCCAACTCAATCATCAAGTTTGCAGACGACACAACAGTAGTAGGCTTGATTACCAACAATGACGAGACCGCCTACAGGGAGGAGGTGAGGGCTCTGGGAGTGTGGTGACAGGAAAATAACCTCTCAATCAACGTAAAAAAAAAAAGGAGATGATCGTGGACTTCAGGAAACAGCAGAGGGTGCACCCCCCTATCCACATCGGCGGGACCGCAGTGGAGAAGGTGGAAAGCTTCAAGTTCCTTAGTGTACACATCACCGACGAACTGAAATGGTCCACCCACGCAGACAGTGTGGTGAAGAAGGCGCAACAGAGCCTCTTCAACCTCAGGAGGCTGAAGAAATTCGGCTTGGCACCTAAAACCCTCACAAACTTTTACAGATGCACAATTGAGAGCATCCTGTCGGGCTGTATCACCACCTGGTACGGCAACTGCAGGGCTCTCCAGAGGATGGTGCGGTCTGCCGAACGCATTATCGGGGGCAAACTACCCGCCCTCCAAGACACATACAGCACCTGATGTCACAGGAAGGCCAAAAAGATCATCAAGGACATCAACCACCCGAGCCACTGCCTGTTCACCCCGCTATCATCCAGAAGGCGAGGTCAGTACATGTGCATCAAAGTTGGGACCGAGAGAATGAAAAACGGCTTCTATCTCAAGGCCATCAGACTGTTAAATAGCCATCACTAGCACATTAGAGGCTGCTGCTGCCTATTGAAATCACTGGAACACTAGTCACTTTAATAATGTTTACAGTCACTTTAAAATGTTTACATATCTTGCACTACTCATCTCATATGTATATACTGCATTCTATTCTACTGTATCTTAGTCCATGCCACTGTCATTGCTTGTCCATATATGTATATTTTCTTAAATTCCATTCCTTACTAGTTTTGTGTGGATTAGGTACAGTGGGGGAAAAAAGTATTTAGTCAGCCACCAATTGTTCAAGTTCTCCCACTTAAAAAGATGAGAGAGGCCTGTAATTTTCATCATAGGTACACGTCAACTATGACAGACAAAATGAGGGAAAAAAAATCCAGTAAATCACATTGTAGGATTTTTTATGAATTTATTTGCAAATTATGGTGGAAAATAAGTATTTGGTCACCTACAAACAAGCAAGATTTCTGGCTCTCACAGACCTGTAACTTCTTCTTTAAGAGGCTCCTCTGTCCTCCACTCGTTACCTGTATTAATGGCACCTGTTTGAACTTGTTATCAGTATAAAAGACAACCTGTCCACAACCTCAAACAGTCACACTCCAAACTCCACTATGGCCAAGACCAAAGAGCTGTCAAAGGACACCAGAAACAAAATTGTAGACCTGCACCAGGCTGGGAAGACTGAATCTGCAATAGGTAAGCAGCTTGGTTTGAAGAAATCAACTGTGGGAGCAATTATTAGGAAATGGTAGACATACAAGACCACTGATAATCTCCCTCGATCTGGGGCTCCACGCAAGTTCTCACCCTGTGAGGTCAAAATGATCACAAAAATCCCAGAACCACACGGGGGGACCTAGTGAATGACCTGCAGAGAGCTGGGACCAAAGTAACAAAGCCTACCATCAGTAACACACTACGCCGCCAGGGACTCAAATCCTGCAGTGCCAGACGTGTCCCCCTGCTTAAGCCAGTACATGTCCAGGCCCGTCTGAAGTTTGCTAGAGTGCATTTGGATGATCCAGAAGAGGATTGGGAGAATGTCATATGGTCAGATGAAACCAAAATAGAACTTTTTGGTAAAAACTCAACTCGTCGTGTTTGGAGGACAAAGAATGCTGAGTTGCATCCAAAGAACACCATACCTACTGTGAAGCATGGGGGTGGAAACATCATGCTTTGGGGCTGTTTTTCTGCAAAGGGACCAGGACGACTGATCCGTGTAAAGGAAAGAATTAATGGGGCCATGTATCGTGATATTTTGAGTGAAAACCTCCTTCCATCAGCAAGGGCATTGAAGATGAAACGTGGCTGGGTCTTTCAGCATGACAATGATCCCAAACACACCGCCTGGGCAACGAAGGAGTGCCTTCGTAAGAAGCATTTCAAGGTCCTGGAGTGGCCTAGCCAGTCTCCAGATCTCAACCCCATAGAAAATCTTTGGAGGGAGTTGAAAGTCCGTGTTGCCCAGCGACAGCCCCAAAACATCACTGCTCTAGAGGAGATCTGCATGGAGGAATGGGCCAAAATACCAGCAACAGTGTGTGAAAACCTTGTGAAGACTTACAGAAAACGTTTGACCTGTGTCATTGCCAACAAAGGATATACAACAAAGTATTGAGAAACTTTTGTTATTGACCAAATACTTATTTTCCACCATAATTTGCAAATAAATTCATTAAAAATCCTACAATGTGATTTTCTGGATTTTTTTTCCTCATTTTGTCTGTCATAGTTGACGTGTATCTATGATGAAAATTACAGGCCTCTCTCATCTTTTTAAGTGGGAGAACTTGCACAATTGGTGGCTGACTAAATACTTTTTTTCCCCACTGTATATGTTGCGAAATTGTTAGATATTACTTGTTAGATATTACTGCACTGTCGGCGCTAGAAGCACAAGCATTTCGCTACACCCGCTATAACATTTGCTAAACACGTGTATGTGACAAATAAAATTTGATTTAATATGGCCAATATACCACGGCTAAGGGCTGTTCCTAGCCACGACGCAACAAGGAGTGCCTGGATACAGCCCTTAGCCGTGGTATGTTGGCAATATACCACAAACCCCCAAGGTGCCTTATTGCTATAATAAACTGCTTACCAACCTAATTAGAGCAGTAAAAATAAATGTTTTGTCATACCCGTGATATACTGTCTGATATACCATGGCTTTCAGCCAATCAGCATTCAGGCCTTGAACCACCCAGTTTATAATGCTGTATAAATAGCCAATAATCCTTTACTTATTATACAACTTGTTTGTTTTTAGTAGTCCCTTGTCTCTCTGACCTATTATCAATTTTAAAATGTTGTGATATACAACAGGTATGATGACTTACGGGGCGGACTGGGACCAGAAATCGGCCCTGGCATTTCAAACACAAAGGCCCATTTTTTCCCTTGAGGCCCCCCATTAGCCAGATAACGATAATTTTTCACAACATAAAAAACAAGTTAGACAGGCCCACTGGGCTAAAAACCGACCAGCTGCTTATATGTGGAATGTATGAGCCTTTATAATGTATTTTAATCTGTCCCGTCCTGTTTTCTGTGGGTTCTGTGTGACTCATTGGGCATGACTGACGGTGGTATTTCTCAACCGTGGACACATTCTTGTGAAAATAACACATCTATAGCTTACTTTGTAAAGGAGTGGTTTGGGCATATGCCAACAAAATGAGACAAATAATTACATATAAATGTTCCAAACCTTTTCTTTATTTAGGTAACTGTTGCATCATTTTAATACTACATTTCCAAGATAGCAGTGTTTGTAATAAGTGCTTTTATTAGTGTGGGAATGCAATAAGTTTGAAAATCAGTGATTAGTTGGATTCTCTGAATATATCCTAGAGAAGGAGGTTGAACTGCATTGGTAAGACTAACAAATAACACTAGATAATACTAGTTATTTGGTAGACTAGACATTGATTGAAGTCTTCTCTTCATTGTGTCTTTACTGCTGGCACTGGTTCTTGACCATCTGGATTTCGCTCAGCCAGGGGCGGCTCCACACCTCGAAGGTGCACTGGTAGGGCTGAGGAGACAGAAAGCAACATGAAGCAACATGAGTTGGCATAATAACATAACCTTTCAGCAAGCAGAACGCTTGACAAAGGGCTTGTTCGACATTGCAGCCAACTGCCTGATCTACAAATCAAATTGCATCATAAATAACTATTCATTATTTGTAGATCAGTCAGTCACAATTTACCCACAATATATTTTTTGATGCTCTCGAACACAGCCAAAGGGTGCACACACATTAGTCTATATACACTCAGTGTACAAAACGTTATCCCCCACTCCCCTGCCCTCAGAACAGCCTCAGTTTGTCGGGCATGGACTGATTGAAGTTGATTTAACAAGTGACACCAGTAAGGGATCATAGCTTTCACCTGGATTCACCTGGTTAGTCTATGTCATGGAAAGAGCAGGTATTCTTAATGTTTTGTATAATCAGCATATAGCAATAACAACTGAACTGATCCTCAACCTCAGCAAGAATGTATGAGTAGTTTATCAACGGTACCCTGAATTATTAGTTACCAATGTGCTATGACTGTTTGTAACATGTTATAAACTATCTACGAGCTAAAAATGAACCAGTCATAAGCCGGACATTGAGGAAGCTCTGATAGCCTAAGTGCCAGTCGGTTGAGCACAAACCGATCTGGGACCAGGCTAGGCCCTAGTGGTCCTTACCGCAGCCATCTCTGGGTCCTTGTGCACGGAGCAGACCTTCTCAACACCTCCCTTCCTGCACGGGGTCCTGGCCATCTGCACTGTGAAGATGTACTTTATCCCAGATACCACCTGTAGACAAGAGGCTGGGTTACAAGAGGCTGGGATACAAGAGGCTGGGATACAAGAGGCTGGGATACAAGAGGCTGGGATACAAGCGGGTGGGTTACAAGAGGCTGGGATACAAGAGGGTGGGTTACACAGACAATCCTTTTAATCATGGCCATCATGTCATGGGATCATATCATTCACATATACAGTAATCACATCTGCTTTCAAACTAATTTTCCAAGTTGTATTGATTGTCCATGTCATGTTAGATTAGACCAGGGTGTCAGTCTGTATCTGCTCTTTTGCCAACTCCTTACAGAACTGTCATGCAAAACAAAGCACATTATAACACAAACACTGGCACTCAGGCAATCATACGCTATGAGGTCAACTAACAGAGCTCGTAAACAGCATTTTGGCCTAATCCTAGAGTCTCTTTTCCCTATCATGCACTGATGATAAATAATTGAACAGGTAAAACCAGAATCCCATCCACGATCCTCCCCTTCTGCTTGCTACTATGTTGTGTTCTCAAATCAGAGCAGATGCCTGGTTTAGAAATGAATAAGGTTACCAACATATTCAAATAATGACTGACATTTTTATTAAAAACTTTATTTTGATATATTTATTCATACTATTTAATCCTTCCACAAGATATAGTCCCGGCACAAATCTAGGGTTGCTACCCAAGCCGGCTGGTCGTTCGTTCTATCGGTTCGGTTGCTAGAGACGTGACCCAGTCGTTCAGTCTTTTTGTTCTGTATCTATGGACGTGACCCAGTCGTTCGTTCTAAATGTTCCTTTGCCATACTGGCTGGCAACGTTCTTATCCCTTGCTTGCTAATTTGCCAACTACAGCTAACTTACAGTCACGTCAAAAAGTGCAGCCAGAATAACAGCAAAGTAGCTGCATTTGCATAAGCTGTTGTCTAGTGACATTTATTTGGATACATCCATAACAATGAGCTAATGAGGCGTGATTTCGCCTGGCATAGAAAATGTGCTCACTGGTCAGGACACTGTTGTTCAGAGGAGCTAGCCAACAACACAGCTAACACAATCACTTCAAACTGAAGCTGGAAAGACTGCAAACTAGCTGCACTTCGTTTCGGTTTACCCTTTTTTTTTTTTTCTCAATTGACATTTCTTTGTATATATCCATAAAAATTATGCCAGCTGATTCATGATATCGACTGGCTGAGAAACGCTGCCTATCTGTCTCGTCCCGACTCCCGACACGTTCATTACTATGGAACAGCTGGAGATCTAATTTGAATATTGAAACAATGTTGCAAATGTCGGAGAGACAGATAAAGTTTATACAAATCTCCACTGTTGAGAACTAAATGTTAGTCTAAAAGAAATGTGAGATAATGTCTAGAGGCTTTTTATAGTGGAGATCAAGTTTATAAATTGCATGGCTGGGCTGATGACAGTGGATTGCACAGTCAGATGGAACAGAGTAAATAGGCATTTTAACGTCATAGATTTAGCCGGTGGTAACTTGTGGAATAGACACTGGCTGGAATGCAATTTTAACCAATCAGCATTCAGACCACCCGTTGTATAATTCCTGACAATACCCTCATTTACATTTTCTACATTTCAGTCATTTAGCAGACACTCTTATCCAGAGCGACTTAGCCCGTCTGGTGTTCAACCTTCCCAAGTTCTCTCACGTCACCCCGCTCCTCCGCACACTCCACTGGCTTCCAGTTGGGCTTCCAGTTGAAGCTCGCATCTGCTACAAGACCATGGTGCTTGCCTACGGAGCTGTGAGGGGAACGGCACTTCCGTACCTTCAGGCTCTGATCAGTCCCTACACCCAAACGAGGGCATTGCGTTCATCCACCTCTGGCCTGCTGGCCCCCCTACCTCTGCGGAAGCACAGTTCCCGCTCAGCCCAGTCAATACTGTTCGCTGCTCTGGCACCCCAATGGTGGAACAAGCTCCCTCACGACGCCAGGACAGCGGAGTCACTCACCACCTTCCGGAGACACTTGAAACCCCACCTCTTTAAGGAATACCTGGGATAGGATAAAGTAATCCTTCTACCCCCCTTACCCCACCCCCAAAAAAAACAAAAAACATTGTAAAGTGGTTATCCCACTGGCTATAAGGTGAATGCACCAATTTGTAAGTCGCTCTGGATAAGAGCGTCTGCTAAATGACGTAAATGTAATTAGGCCCATTTCACTTGAGGAATGAAACATGAGCAAACTACCCAGTAAGCACGGACCGAAGCCCAATGTCTTTTGGGCGTCTATGTTTGGTTCAGATTTGGTCCAGCCCGGGAATGTCCTTGATTTGGCCCAAACTTAGAAGCCTATGATTGGTTCAGATTAGACATCTATGTTTCACAACTTTGGACAGCATAGCACAGTACGATCCAGTACAGTAGAGTGCAGTGCGGTGCGGTACAGTACATCGCAGCACAGTAAAGCACAGCACGGTACAGTACAGTGCAGCACAGTACAGAAAATGAAGTATAGTTTAATACAGTAGAGTACAGCACAGTATAATGTACCATATTGTACACTACTTTACTCTACGGAATTAAACTATATTGTACTGTACTAAATAAACCTCTGTCCGTACCGTACTCTACTGTGCCTTACTGTACTGTGCTGTTCAAATTTGTGAAACATCGCCTCGGCGTCTATGATTCTTTCAGATTTGGTCTGGTCAGGACTGACCAAATTTGTACATGTTCGGGGCGAAGCTCATCAGAATAAATACCCAGCATGCTTTGTTCGTTTTTACATTTATGTCATTCAGCTTATCCAGAGATCTTACAATCAGTGCATTCAACTAAGGTAGATAAACAACAGTATATCAGTCATAGCAAGAAACAAGTATTTCTGTAACCGTTCCTAAGAATGTCATTGTAGTTGGTTTATTATTTTGGTTGGGTTATTTTGAACATCATCGCTGCCAGCTTTAAAGCTTTTTGAAAAAGATAACATAAGTGCATGTGACTGCAATCTTCAGTTTGCTAATTTATTTTATTTTGAATTTAAAATGTTGAATGTGATAATGCTTTCTTCATGGACATGTAGATATAAGTAAATGTATGTACAGTTGAAATTTTGCCAGAGAAACAACGACAAAATAAAGTATTTTCAACATCCACAAAATAAATGGTGTTTTTAACGTAGTGAAAATACCCATTGTCAACCTCAATCTTGTCGTTGAACTAATAAAGGGAAGAGGAACTGACCTGTCTCTGCGCTTTGACAACCTCGGCCACCTGCCTGACAAACATGTCGTTTGTTTTCTTGTTGTGTTCGACCACGGCGAACTGCAGGGCGTCTCTCATTCCTTCTTCATTCATATTTGCGTCCATGGGGCCTCCGATCAAACCGGCGCTGCTCGCCACGGTAAAGGCCACCGCGAGCAAAGGAACGACGATCTTCCATTCTATGTTCATTTTCCCGTTTGATATATTTTTTAATTGCAGCTCCGATCGTATCACGTAAACAACAACAAATCCTTGCCTCAGTCGATTTATGCTATTATATAAAGACGATGACGTCACTGTCTGCTTGTTGAGCGGTGTGGCTTGATCTTGATTCCACCAATCACTTCAACCCAAAGTTAACACGTAGCTAAGTGCGTTTGTTTTGCAGAGCAGCTTACCCGGTTTTGTTTGCCTGGTTGTACAGCTAAATACATCATTGAAAAATACTGTATTATGAAACGTCACAAAACACGCTGCTCACCAATGGATTTCTCAAGAAGCGAAACGTCTTTTTTTTTTTTACACACACGGTAATAAACCAAAAAGACCTATGACTAGGATTTATTGGCTATTATTGCATGGTTTAAGGGATTATTGGCTATTTATACATTCTAGTACAGGGGTATTCAGCTCTTACTCTACGACAGGGAACATCAACTAGATTCAGCCGCAGGCAGATTGTCTCTTGAGCAGATGGTCAGGGGGCAGAAACATCATTACAAATAATTTGTAGACTGTAAATTGACTGCAAGAAGCCCAAACATATATAATATTTGGCTAAAACATAATAATTTCAAACCTTGCTTACATTAGTATACAATCACATATAGTTCTGTATTATGCGTGGGAATAATTTGGAACAGATTTCCTGAAATGAAACTCACTTGGAGACGATTTGCAGGTGTTTTTACAGTCTTTTCTGTCCCAAAAATAATAAACTCATCCACAGACCTCCAGTTGTGGAACCCTGCCCTACAAAGTACGGTGCCTTCTGGTTTTATACCTGACCTAAATCAGTCCCTGATTAGAGGGAACAATGAAAAAATGCACAAGGCAGTGGAACTGGCTACTAGGTCCAGAGTTGAGTTTGAGGGTATAGCATTATGACAGTACAGACTACCAGGGGACTGCAACCCTGTTTCTGGTGAGCTACCTTCCTATAGGTTTTCGCTCCAACCCCAGTTGTAACTAACCTGATTCAGTTTATCAACAACCAGTTTATTAGAATCAGGTGCGGTAGATTAGGGATGCAGTGAAAACCTACAGGATGATAGCTCTCCAGGAACAGGGTTGGAGAGCCCTGCCTAGACTAGATTTGTGAATTGGCTTCTGTGGTTGTTATATAGCCTACAGTAACCTCATCATGACAACAATACACACAGGCTGGAGGACTTGTAGAAAAATCAAGTACAATTTTATTGGTCGCATACACATATTTTGCAGATGTTATAGCTGGTGTAGCGAAATGCTGGTGCAGTAATATTTAAGATATAATGGCTGAGAAGCCAGTGTTAGGAGGATATAGAGCCCCACAGTGGAGGTCATAATACCCATAAAACCTAGCAGTCAAACAGGGAAATGTTTCCAATAATTCGCCACGGTAAAGGCCACCGCGAGCAAAGGAACGACGATCTTCCATTCTATGTTCATTTTCCCCGTTTGATATATTTTTTAATTGCAGCTCCGATCGTATCACGTAAACAACAACAAATCCTTGCCTCAGACGATTTATGCTATTATATAAAGACGATGATGTCACTGTCTGCTTGTTGAGCGTGTGGCTTGATCTTGATTCCACCAATCACTTCAACCCAAAGTTAACACGTAGCTAAGTGCGTTTGTTTTGCAGAGCAGCTTACCCGGTTTTGTTTGCCTGGTTGTACAGCTAAATACATCATTGAAAAATACTGTATTATGAAACGTCACAAAACACGCTGCTCACCAATGGATTTCTCAAGAAGCGAAACGTCTTTTTTTTTTTTTTACACACACGGTAATAAACCAAAAAGACCTATGACTAGGATTTATTGGCTATTATTGCATGGTTTAAGGGATTATTGGCTATTTATACATTCTAGTACAGGGGTATTCAGCTCTTACTCTACGACAGGGAACATCAACTAGATTCAGCCGCAGGCAGATTGTCTCTTGAGCAGATGGTCAGGGGGCAGAAAACATCATTACAAATAATTTGTAGACTGTAAATTGACTGCAAGAAGCCCAAACATATATAATATTTGGCTAAAACATAATAATTTCAAACCTTGCTTACATTAGTATACAATCACATATAGTTCTGTATTATGCGTGGGAATAATTTGGAACAGATTTCCTGAAATGAAACTCACTTGGAGACGATTTGCAGGTGTTTTTTACAGTCTTTTCTGTCCCAAAAATAATAAACTCATCCACAGACCTCCAGTTGTGGAACCCTGCCCTACAAAGTACGGTGCCTTCTGGTTTTATACCTGACCTAAATCAGTCCCTGATTAGAGGGAACAATGAAAAAATGCACAAGGCAGTGGAACTGGCTACTAGGTCCAGAGTTGAGTTTGAGGGTATAGCATTATGACAGTACAGACTACCAGGGGACTGCAACCCTGTTTCTGGTGAGCTACCTTCCTATAGGTTTTCGCTCCAACCCCAGTTGTAACTAACCTGATTCAGTTTATCAACAACCAGTTTATTAGAATCAGGTGCGGTAGATTAGGGATGCAGTGAAAACCTACAGGATGATAGCTCTCCAGGAACAGGGTTGGAGAGCCCTGCCTAGACTAGATTTGTGAATTGGCTTCTGTGGTTGTTATATAGCCTACAGTAACCTCATCATGACAACAATACACACAGGCTGGAGGACTTGTAGAAAATCAAGTACAATTTTATTGGTCGCATACACATATTTTTGCAGATGTTATAGCTGGTGTAGCGAAATGCTGGTGCAGTAATATTTAAGATATAATGGCTGAGAAGCCAGTGTTAGGAGGATATAGAGCCCCACAGTGGAGGTCATAATACCCATAAAACCTAGCAGTCAAACAGGGAAATGTTTCCAATAATTCGCCACGGTAAAGGCCACCGCGAGCAAGGAACGACGATCTTCCATTCTATGTTCATTTTCCCGTTTGATATATTTTTTAATTGCAGCTCCGATCGTATCACGTAAACAACAACAAATCCTTGCCTCAGACGATTTATGCTATTATATAAAGACGATGACGTCCACTGTCTGCTTGTTGAGCGGTGTGGCTTGATCTTGATTCCACCAATCACTTCAACCCAAAGTTAACACGTAGCTAAGTGCGTTTGTTTTGCAGAGCAGCTTACCCGGTTTTGTTTGCCTGGTTGTACAGCTAAATACATCATTGAAAAATACTGTATTATGAAACGTCACAAAACACGCTGCTCACCAATGGATTTCTCAAGAAGCGAAACGTCTTTTTTTTTTTTACACACACCGGTAATAAACCAAAAAGACCTATGACTAGGATTTATTGGCTATTATTGCATGGTTTAAGGGATTATTGGCTATTTATACATTCTAGTACAGGGGTATTCAGCTCTTACTCTACGACAGGGAACATCAACTAGATTCAGCCGCAGGCAGATTGTCTCTTGAGCAGATGGTCAGGGGGCAGAAACATCATTACAAATAATTTGTAGACTGTAAATTGACTGCAAGAAGCCCAAACATATATAATATTTGGCTAAAACATAATAATTTCAAACCTTGCTTACATTAGTATACAATCACATATAGTTCTGTATTATGCGTGGGAATAATTTGGAACAGATTTCCTGAAATGAAACTCACTTGGAGACGATTTGCAGGTGTTTTTACAGTCTTTTCTGTCCCAAAAATAATAAACTCATCCACAGACCTCCAGTTGTGGAACCCTGCCCTACAAAGTACGGTGCCTTCTGGTTTTTATACCTGACCTAAATCAGTCCCTGATTAGAGGGAACAATGAAAAAATGCACCAAGGCAGTGGAACTGGCTACTAGGTCCAGAGTTGAGTTTGAGGGTATAGCATTATGACAGTACAGACTACCAGGGGACTGCAACCCTGTTTCTGGTGAGCTACCTTCCTATAGGTTTTCGCTCCAACCCCAGTTGTAACTAACCTGATTCAGTTTATCAACAACCAGTTTATTAGAATCAGGTGCGGTAGATTAGGGATGCAGTGAAAACCTACAGGATGATAGCTCTCCAGGAACAGGGTTGGAGAGCACTGCCTAGACTAGATTTGTGAATTGGCTTCTGTGGTTGTTATATAGCCTACAGTAAACCTCATCATGACAAACAATAAACACAGGCTGGAGGACTTGTAGAAAATCAAGTACAATTTTATTGGTCGCATACACATATTTTGCAGATGTTATAGCTGGTGTAGCGAAATGCTGGTGCAGTAATATTTAAGATATAATGGCTGAGAAGCCAGTGTTAGGAGGATATAGAGCCCCACAGTGGAGGTCATAATACCCATAAAACCTAGCAGTCAAAACAGGGAAATGTTTCCAATAATTCCCCCACCATTACCTTTTCCCATAGGGGATTTTAGAAACCTTCAAATAAGGGCTGTGTTTCGTGTAGGCTTATCCTGGAGTGACTGCTAAAAGCTAACTCTCTCTCCTCTGCTCTCATCCTTCTAGACCTATCGCTGCCTTTGATACTGTGAACCATCAGATCCTCCTCTCCACCCTCTCCCGAGTTGGGCTCTCTGGCGCGGCTCACTCTTGGATTGGCGTCCTACCTGACAGTCGCTCCTACCAGGTGGCGTGGTGAGAATCTGTCTCCGCACCACGTGCTCTCCCCACTGGTGTCCCCCAGGGCTCAGTTCTATGCCCTCTCCTATTCTCTCTATACACCAAGTCACTTGGCTCTGTCATATCCTCACATGGTCTCTTCCTATCCTTGCTACGCATACGACACACATGAATCTTCTCCTTTCCCCCTTCTGATAACCAGGTGGCGAATCGCATCTCTGCATGTCTGGCAGACATATCAGTGTGGGATGTCGGATCCACACCTCAAGCTGAACCTTGGCAAGACGGAGCTGCTCTTCCTCCTGGGGAAGGACTGGCCCGCTCCATGATCTCGCCATACGGTTGGACAAATCCGTTGTTTCTCCTCCCAGAGTGCAAAGAACCCCTTGGCGTCCCCTGGACACAACATGTCATTCTCCGCTACATCAAAGCGTTGACCCGATCCTGTAGGTTCATGCTCTAAAACATCGCGAGTATGGACATACTTACACAGGAAGAGGCACAGGTCCTAATCCA